CAACCGACGAATTCGAAACCTAACCTAAGCAAACACAACGGGACTCAACCTAACGTGCCGAGACCAACCTTTCCGGCCTCCCGAGAGCCAAGGGGAACATATTATGGCACAGTATGACGCAGAAATCCAACGAATAGCGGTGAGCAGCACAAAAGCTGAAGCTATCTTGTCCTACTATAACCGACTGCCACATAACCATACGTAATATATCGCAACCCAACGTGCCGAGACCGCTGTTGCCGGTTTCCCCAGGGCAGAGCGGAGAACAATAGAGCACAGTAGAGCGCAGGAATCCACCGAAAGCTGTGTATAACACAAAAGTCAAAGCTATATCATCTTACCAAGCCAATCCTGTAATAACCATACGTAAACTAATTCAAACTAAAGTGTCAAGACCTCTATTGGTGGCCTCCCCAGGGAGAAGCAAAATCTACTAGAGGACAGTAGAGCGCAGAAACCCCCCCGGATTGCAGTGTATAGCACAAAAGTCAAAAATATGCAATTCCTGTGTGAAATAATCTAAACTAAGCCAACGGAGGCTAACTCAACACAAAGTGCCGAGACCGCTATTGCCTACTCCCCAGTGCGAAGCGGTATATACTAGGGCACAGCCGAGCACAGAAATCCACCGAACAGCAGTCTACAGCACAAAAGTCAAAACTATCCTGTCGCAACCCATCCAGTCGTACTATGACCAAACGTAACCTAACTAAATCTATCGCGACGCTGCCACAACTGCAGGCTACCACAGAGCCGAGCAGAACATATTAGATGGGACCAGCGGACAGAAACAATAGAACCTCACTTTATAGCAGAGAAGTGAAGGACATCCGGACCTAACCCCGTCTAACCTAACTTAGCCCAACGTAGCATCATTGATCATAACGAGACGCGACCAATATTGCTGGCCCACTCAGGACGAAGCAGAATATATTACAGCAAAGTAGAGCGCAGGTATCCTCCGAATAACTGTGTATTGCACGAATGTCAAGGCTATCCTCTCCTAACCTAACAAAACGTAACGAAATCGCGCGTAACGTTGCTCAGCCTAGCGAGTCGAGACCACCGTCCTGGCCCCCCAAAGCCCAGTAGTACATATTAGAACACAGCAGAAGGCAAAAATCCCCGAATATCTGTGTACAGCACAAAAGTCTTTGCTATCCCGCCCGAAATTATCCAAACGTTACGAAACCGAGCGTACAATAACTAAAGCTGAAGTGCCGAAACTGCTATTGCTGGCCTCCCCAGAGCCATGCAGAACATATTAGTGTACAGTAGGGCGCAAAGATCCACCGAGTAGCAGTGCATATCGCAAAAGTCAAGGCTATCCTCTCATAACCGAGCCAATCGTAACATAACCAAACGTAACCTAACTCATCCTAACGCACCTACACCACTATTGCTGACCACCCTAGAGACATGCAGAGCATATCACAGCCACGTAGAGCTCAGAAATCCACCGAACAGCAGTGCATAGCACAAAGGTCAGTGCTACCCTCTCCTATCCAAACCAATCGTAACATAACCAAACGTAACCTAGCTCAACTTAACGTGCCGCGACCACTATTACAGGCATCCCCATAGTACAGCAGAGCAGAAGAGCAATGTAGAACGAAAAAATCCACCGAAAAGTAATCTATGGCGCAAAAGTCAAGGCTATCATCTCCTAACATATCCCAACGTAATATAGCGAAACGTAGCCTTACGTAGACTAACGTGCCGAGGTCGCACTAACAGGCCTCCGCAGTGCCAAGCAGAATGTGCTAGAGCAAGGTAGAGCGCAGAAGGCAAGCATATAGCAGTGTATAGCACAAAAGTCAAAGATATCCTAACCTAACCTGACATAGCCGAACCAAACCTAACGTCGAGAAACTAAACACAACGAGCCGAGACACCTATTGCTGCCATCCCCATGGTCAAGTTGAACATATTAGGGCGCAGTGGAGCACAGAAATGTACCGAATAGCAGTGTATAGCGCAAAAGCCAAAGCCATCCTTACCAAACGTAAACAAGCCAATCCTAGCCAAACGTAACCTAACACAGCATATCGTGCCACGACCGCTATTGCTTGCTTCCCAAGGGACGTGCAGAGTATAGTAGATCAACTAGGAGCGCAGAAATCGACCGAATAGCAATACATAGAGCAAAAGTCATAGTCACCCTAACCAAACGTATCCTAACCTAACGTAACCACATGTAACCTGACAAAACCTGAAGTGCCACGACGGTTATTGCCGGCCTCAAAGGAGCCAAGCAGAGTACAGTAATGCAACATAGAGCGCAGGAATCGAGCGAACGGCAGTGCGTAGCACAAAAGGCGAAGTGCTCCTATGTAAGCATTCCTAACCTACCCTAACGGAACATAACATGACTCAACCTAACCGGCCGAGACCAATACTAATGACCACCACAGAGCCAAGCAGAATATACCAAAGCACATCAGAGCGTAGAAATCCGCCGCGTTGCGATGTATAGCACAAGAGGCATAAATATCCTAACATCACAATCCGAACCTAATCAAACGGAACGTAGCGTAGCTCAGCCTTACGTGCCGCGACTGCTGCTCCTGGCGACACCTGAGCCAAGCAGAGTGTAGTAGAGCACAGTTAATCACAAGAATCCTCCGAATGTCAGTGTAAATCACGAGAGTCAATGCTACCCTAACCAAACTCTGCCTAACTGAACCTAATCTAACGTAGCCTAACCGAACATAACGTGCCGCGACACCTATTGCTGGACTCCCCAGGTCCGAGGAGGATATTGTGGAGAACAGCCGAACGCAGGAATCCCCCGAATAGCAGTGTATACCACGAAAGTCAAAGATAACCTGACCGAGCTTGACGTAACCTAACAAATCGAAACGCAACGAAGAAGAAACAAACGTGCCGAGACCACTATTGCTGGCCTCGCCAGAGCCGAGCAGAATATACTACAGTACAGCAGAGCGCAGAAATCCACCGCATAGAAATATAGTGCACTAAAGTCGTAGATATTTTAACACAAGCGCCCTAACCGAAGCTGTTGAAACGTAACATAACCAAACATAACGTGGCGATAGCGCCATTACTGGACACCCCAGTGCCAAGCAGAGAATATTAGAGCACACGATAGCGCAGGAATCCAAGGAATAACAGTGCATAGCACAAAAGTCAAAGTAGCGCATCATAACATAGCCAAACGTAACATACACAAACGTAGCGCAGCTCAACCTCACATGACGAGACCACAACTGCTGGCTTCCCCAGAGCCAAGCAGAATGTAGTAGGGCACGGCAGATCACAGTAATAAACCGAATAGGAGTGCATAGCTGGAAAGTAGAAGCAAGACTAACCGAACGTGGCCTAACCTAACCTAACCAAACGTAAACTGACTCATCCTGGCGTGCAACGACCACTACTGCTCGCCTCCCCTGAGTCGACCGAAGAGTAGTAGAGCAACGTAGAGCGCAGTCATCCACCAAATAGCAGTGTATAGCACAAAAGTACAAACCGACCCATCCTAACCCCACCAAACGTATCATAACCAAACGCAGCATAACTCAACCTAACAGGCCGAGACCACTATTGCTAGCCTCCCCAGCGCTAAGCAGAATATACTACAGCACTGCAGTGAGCAGAAGTCCTCCGCATTGCAATATATAGCACAAAACCGTGGACATACTGACCTAACAATCCTAACTTAACCTAACGGAACGTACCGCAAATCAACCTAACGTGCCGAGGACACTAGTGCTGGCCACACCATTGCCAAGCGGAGCATATTAGAGCACACTAGAGCGCAGAATACCACGTAATGGCAGTGCATAGCACAAAAGCCAAAGTATCCTACCCTTACCCAGCCAAACGTGACATTCCCAAACGTAGCCTAGCTTAACTTAACACGGCGTGACCACTATTGTTGGCCTCCACAGAGGCAAGCAGAATGAACTAGAGCACAGTGGTGCGAATAAATCAACCGCATTGCTGTGAGTAGCAGCAAAAGTCGAAGGCAGCCTAACCAAACCTGACCCAACATATCGCAACCTAGCGTAGCATAGCTCAGGGCAACGAGCAGCGACCACTGCACTTGGCGTCCCCAGAGCAAAGAAGAAAGAAGTAAAGCAGAGCAACCCACAGAAATCCGCCGAAAAGCAGTGCAAAGCACGAAAGGCAAAGTAGCCTATCCTAAATTAGTCAGCGTAGCACAAGCAGACGTAGCCCAATTCAAGCTAACAGCCGAGACCACTATTGCTGACCTCCCCAGCGCCAAGAAGAATAAACAACGGCACAGCAGAGCGTATAAATCCACTGCATTGCAATGTAAAGCACTGAAGCCGTAGATATTGTAGAGATTGTGTGGAGCACGAAAAATGTGAAACTATTTATTAACCATAAAATATACAAAGCAATACGCGGTGAGGGTAAGGACTGCGAATATAATCTATCTATTAATTTAACTCTTATAACTACAACGACGAAATTATACCTAGCAACACGTATGCACTTAACAACACCAATAAAGCTAACACCTTTTTTCACAACTCCCTGCTACGAACACCAATATACTACACGTACTACGACAGTCTACGCAACCTGCCCATTCATCCCTATGTAAAACCATACATTCCATCCTCTCTCATACCTATTCTCTCTTTCCAATCGCACTTTCCCACGCACTTCTTGCAATCTTACCCTCAGCCAGTCACTTAGCCCAAAGACTCAAACGCATTCCTAAAGCCACTGTTCACTTCCATTCGAAGCATTCATAAACATCCCGTCCACACGATCCTCGCACACGATCATTCATCCTTTCTCACGCACTCTAGGTAAGATGCTCATCCTGCGATACAACACTCGGCCCTCCTGACTTGAACATCTGTCCTCAGATATTCCGCTAACACTGTCCCCGTTTTCCGCCGTACTTCTTTAAAAAAAAGCATTGTCCAATTTCCCTGCCAGATTGACATTTTAGTAGACGCCCGATTTGGTCGGAGACGGCTACTGTCAAAATCCATTCGCCGTCACTGTACCAATATCTTCTCCGTGTGCTGATAGTTGTACCGGTGCTTCTCCTCCTCGTCTTCACCCTCGTCCTCGTCACTGTCTTTGTCCCTACCTTCGTCTTCGTTGTCGCTCCTCTCGTCGCTCTCACCATCGCCCTTCCCATCATCCTCGCTCTCGTCTTCGGCCTCGCGGTCCTCACTCTTGTCCTCGTGATCTGTACCCACGGCTTCATTGTCGCTCGCGCTCTTGTGTCTCCTATCGCCTTCGTAGTCCTCTTCGTCTACCGTCTTTCCTCGTATCACGACTGTCTGAACCGCTTCCTGTATCTTCTTAATGCCGCTTGCTTACGGCACCGTTCGATCCTGCGTTCCTCTTCTTGTTCGCGTCGGACTGCCCGTTCCCTTCGTCCTCAGCTTCGTCTGCAGCTTCGTCTACAACTTAGTCTACAGTTTCGACTGCAACTTCGTCTGCAACTTCGCCTGAAACTTCGTCTGCAACTTCGTCTGCAACTTCGTCCTCAGTTTCGTCCTCAATTTCGTCTTCAACTTCATTCTCAACTTCGTCTTCAACATCATCCTCAACTTCGTTTTCAACTTCGTCTTCAACTTCATCCTCAACTTCGTTTTCAACTTCGTCCTTGCAACGAGCTGTTACTCACGAATTTGCGTATTCTGATATAAGCTTGCTTTTAAATATTGCCATGATCCAGCCATGTCTGCATACCGAATGTACATTTGTGAGACTCCACGAGGTAGCCTTCTGGCTTAATAGACCCTTTGCCCCTCGCACCATTCGCAATCTTCCGCAATTTCTTCGAAGTAACGGCACCGCTGCTTTACATCCATTGTCCCTTCGCCATCAAACGTAAACAAGTTTTCTTTCAATTCCTGAAAGGTTAGCATATCGCTCGTACGTCTTCTCTCGCATGCCGCTTTTGATTTCTGCCTCCGTCTGGCCATGCCCTATCGAAAACGTTATGACAGCCCTCAACCGACACTGCAATTCTTCCTTGCTTCCAGTTATTTTCATTTTGCGTTCCCGCAACTCCCGCTGCATGTCAATAACTTACATATGTTCCGCCTTTTCTAACATATCCCTGTTTCCTTCGCAGCTTAACGCGGTGATCGTTTTCATTTTGATCAGCAGAAGTTTACTTTAAACGACTTCAACAATTCGTAGCTTCATCGTCACTGCACAATTGCTCGTCTCAATCCCGGCCGAGACCACAAATTGTAGGGACAGGTTGGAACACCAATAATGTAAAGCTATTTATTTACCACAAAATATAGAATACAGTATGCGGTGACGGTAAAGACTACGAAATTAATCTTTCCATTAATTAAACTCTTATATGTACAACGACACAATTATACCTAACAACACGAATACAACTAACACCTTCTTTCACAACCCTCTTCTACGAACCCTAATGTACTACACGTACTACGAAAGACTGCAGACTCCGCCCCAGTATCCCTATTTAAAGCCATATATTATATCCTCCTTCATACCTATTCTCTCTTTCCAATCACACCTTCCCACGCACTCTTTGCAATCATACCCTCAACGTGACACTTGGCCCAAACACTCAAACACATTCCTAAAGCCACTATTAACTTTCATCCGATACATTTATAAACATGCCGTCCACGCGATCCTAGCGCACGGTCATTCTTCCTTTCGCACGCAATCTAGATAACGTGCTCATCCTGCGATACCAGAGTACCATAACCTAACCAGGCCTAACCTAACTTAACCTAACTAAGCGTAGCATAGCTCAATATAACGCGCCGCAACCACTGCTCCTGGCCTCCCCAGAGCCAAGCAGAATGTAGTAAAGCACCGAAGATCACAGTAACAAACCGAACAACCGAGTATAGCTCGAAAGTAGAGGCTACACTAACCAAACGTGGCCTAAACTATCCTAACCAAACGTAACCTGACTCAACCTGGTGCGTCACGGCCGCAATTGCTCGCCTCCCCAGAGCCGAGCATAGCATATCAGAGCAATGTAGAGCTCAAAAATCCACCGAATATCTGTGTAAAACACAAAAGTCAGAGATATCTTAACCCAAACTGACATAACCTAACTCAAAGGAACGCAGCTCAGCTCAACATAACGTGCCGCGACCACTGATCCTGGCCTCCCCTGAGCCAGGAGGAGTATAGTAGAGCACTGCAGATCAGAGAAACACACTGAATAGCACAAAAGGCAATGGAGCCTACCGTAAAATAGCCAAACGAAGCAAGTCCAAACGTAACGTAACTCAACCTAACATGCGGAGATCACTATTGCTGTCCTCCTCGAAGACAAGAGGAATGTAGTACAGCACACTAGGTCACAGGAATACGCCGAATAACAGTGTAGTACACGAAAGTTAAAGCTAACCTCACCATACTTAACCCAACCTAAACTAACGAAACGTAACCTGACACAGTATAACGTGCCGAGACCACTATTATTGGACACCCTAGTGCCAAGCAGAGCATACTAGATCACAATGGAGTGCAGACATCCGCGGATATCAATGTATATCTCAACAATATAAACTCCCCTATCCTAACCTCACTAATCGTAACATAACCATACGTGGCCTAGCTCAACCTAGCCTGCCGGGACCACAACTGCTGGTATCCCCAGCTCCAAGCAGGATACACTACAGCATACCAGAGCGCAGGGATCCACCGCGTTGCAATGTAGTGCACAAATGCCGTAGATATCCTAGCCTATACTTCCAAACCTATCCAGACACTACACATCCTAGCTAAACCTAACGCGGCGAGACCACAATTATTGGCCACCCCAGTGCCACCAAAGCTTATTTGAACACACTAGAGAGCAGAAACCCGCGGAATAGCAGTGCATCTTAGAATAGTTAAACTAGAGTATCCTACCCTAGCCAAACGTATCATTTCCAAACGAAACCTAACACAACCTAACATGACGAGACCACTGCTGCTGCCTCACAGATACAAGCGGAATGTTCAAGCGCACTGTAGTGCGCAAGCATCCACGGCAATGCTGTGAAAAGCACAAAAGCCGCAGATACAGTGGCATGACCTGTCCTAACCTAAACTAACCAAACGCAACATATCTCAATGTAACGTACAGCGACCGCTGCTTCTGGACGCCCATAGCCAAGCAGAATGTAGTGGAGCACAGTAGATCACAGAAATCCACCGAACAGCGGTGTAAAGCACACAAGCCAGAGCAGCCTATCCTAACCTAGCCAAACGTAACATACCCAAACGTAACCTAACTAGACATAACATGACGAGACAACTGCCGCTGATATACACAGAGGGAAGTGGAGTATACTAGAGCACAGTAACTTGCAGAAATCCTCCGCACTGAAGTGAATGGGACAAAGGTGGAAGATACCTTAACATAACCTGCACTAGCCTAACCTAACCAAACGTAGGGCAACTGAACAGAGCGTGCCGCAACCACTGCTAACGGACTCCTCAGAGCCAAGCAGGAAAGGCTCCTGCCGCAGAAATGTATATAGCACGGAAGTCAAAGCCACCATAGCCAAACGTAATATAAAATGACATAAACAAACGTAGCCCAACTCATCATGATGCGCTGCGACTGTGGCTAAACTCCCCAGGGCCAAGCAAAATATAGTACAACACGGTCGAGTGCAGAAATCCTCCGAATATCAGTGTACAGAACGAACGTCAGGGTTAACCTGGCAGAGCTTAACCAAACCTAACCTAACCGAACGTAAACTAACTAATCTATCTTGCCGAGACAACTAGAGATGGCCCACGCAGGCCTAAGTAGTAAATATTAGAACACACTGGAACTCAGAAATTCGCGGATAGGTACGTACAGCACAAAGGTCACACATGTACTTACCTAACTTGACCGAACCTAAGCGATACAAACGTAGTGTAGCTCATCATAACGTGACGAGGCCAATATTGCTGGCATATCCAGCGCCAAGCATAGCACGTTAGAGCACATTAGAGGGCAGGAATCCGCGGAATAGCGGTGCAGAGCACAAATGAGGTAGCCTATCCTAACCTAGCCAAACGTAACACATCCAGAAGTAGTCTAACTGAACCTAACATGAGGAGACCACTATCGCTGGCCTCCATAGAGGCAAGCAGATAGTACTCGGGCACAGTAGACAGCAGAAGTCCAACGCATTGCAGTGAACAGCACAAGCGTCGGACATACCCTGACCAAGCCTGACCATACCCAACCTATCCAAACGTAGTGTAACCAAGCATGACGTGATGTGACCAATATTTCTGGCCTCCCCAGAGCTAAGCAGGGCATATTTGAGCATATCAGAGCGCCGAAATCCACCGAAGAGCAGTGAATAGCACAAAAGTCCAAGTAGCCGAACCTAACCTAGCCAAACGTGGCATACTCCAACGAAACCTAACTCACCCAAACATGGCTGGACAAATAATTCTGACCACCAAAAGGACAAGCAGAGCGAACTACAGCACAGTAGTGCGCAGGAATACTCCCCATTGAAGTAAACATCACAAATGCCGTAGATATCCTAACCAAACCTGTACCTAGCCTTATCAAACCGAACGTACCATAATTCGACGTGACGTGCCGCGACCACTGCTGACGGACTCCGGAGAAACACGCAGAATATAGCAGAGCACAGTAGAGCACAGGAATATAACGAATAACAGTGTACAGCACGAAAGTAAAATCTATCCTAACCAAACATAGCCTAACCTGTCCTAACCAAACATAACCTAACTCAAACTAACGTGTCGCGACTAATGTTGCTGGCAGTCCGTGGGCTAACCATAATTTAGTAGAGGAGTGTACAGAGCAGAATGAAAAGACCAGCAGTGTATAGCACGAAGGTCTAAGTCACCTGGCCAAACTCTACCCAATCTAAACAACCCAAACGTGAACTAACTAAGGCTAACGTGCCGAGACTATTATTGCTGGCCGGCGGATACGCACGCAGAAGGTATTAGATCACTGCGGAGTGCAGAAATGCGCGGTTGGTAGTGTGTGGCACAAAAGTGTTAGATACCCTATCCTAACCTCGCAAACGTAACACAACCGAACGTAGCGTAGAACAACCTAACGCGCCGAGATCACTATTGCTGACCTCCCAAGGGCCAAGCAGAAAATACTAGAGCACGGCATAGCGCAGAGATCCACCGCATTGCAGTGTATAGCACAAAAGTCAAACATATCCCGACTGAACTTGGACGCACCTAACCTACCCAAACGTGGTGTAACTCAACACAGCATGACGAGACTAATATTGCTGGCCTCCCCAGAGCTAAGCAGAACATGTTAGAGCACAGCAGAAAACAGAAATACACCGAATGGCAGTTTATAGCGCAAAGGTCAACACTGTTGTATCCTAACCTAGCCAAACGTAACATAACCGAACGTAACCGGGCTCATACTATCATGCATTGGACACTATTGCTGGCCACCCCAGGTACAAGCGGAGCATACTAGGGCGCAGTAGAGAGCAGGAATCCACCGCTTTGCTGCACAAATTACAAAGGTGAAAGATAACCAAACCTAACCTTACCTAACCTACCCCACACAAGAGTAGTGAAACTCAGCATAACGTGGTGAGACAAACATTGCTGGACGCTCTAGAACCAAGCAGAACGTATTAGAGCACAGTAGGAAGCAGCAATTCACCGAACATCAATGTATAGAACAAAAGCCAAGGCTATCGCATTTTAACATAGCCAAACGTAGCATAAGCAAACGTAACATAACACATACTGTCGTGCCGAGGACACTATTTCTTTCCACCCCAAAGCCGAGCAGAGAATATTAGAGGACAGTGAGGCGCACAAATCCATAGAATCACAGTGTGAAAAACAAAAGTCATATCTATCCGTACCAAACCCAAGCTAACGTAACGAAACCAAACGTAACATATCTCAGCCTAACTTACCGAGACCACTATTGCTGCCCCCGCCAGGGCTCTGCCGATCATATTGGAGGGGAGAAGAGCACAGGAATCAGTCGAATCATACTGCATAGCACAATAGTCGGAGCTATCCTATCCTAACATAGCCATACGTAACATAGCCGAACGTTGTCTAACTCAGAATAACGTGCCGAGGCGATGATTGTTGCCCCCCCCCCCCCCCCCCCCCCAACGCCGATCAGAGCATATTAGAACACAGTGGAGAGCAGAAATCCACCGAACAGCAGAGTACAGCACAAAGGTCAAATCTAATCAATCCTATCCTAGTCAAACGTAACCTAACCGAACGTAGCATAAATCGGCTTAACATACCGAGACCACTATTGCTTGCTTCCCGAGATTCGAGTAGGGTATAGTAGAGCAATATAGCGCTCAGCCGTCCACCGAATAGCAGTGAATAGCACAAAAGTCAAAGATGTGCTATCCTAATCTTACTAAACGTAACACAACCAAACGCGAAATATCTCAGACCAACTTGGCGAGTCCAAGACTGCCTGCCTCACGATAGCCGTGCATCATATACTAGAGCTTAGCAGCGAGCAGGAATATACGGTATACCAGTGTGTAACACAAAAGTCGAATCTATCCTGAGCAAACTTAACCTAACATTACCTAACCAAACGTAACCTAACTCAAACAAACTTGCCGCC